CTGACATCAATAACATCAGTACTTCTGCACGTAACACATATGATCCTCCCAGGCTTAACTAATCTTCAATAAATGTCATTCCAAAGTGACTGACAATAATTATAAAATATCTGAACTTGAAAGATTCAAAAATACAAATCTTGTGAAAAATATTCCAAACGCTTTAGATTCCAGGATAAAAATCTTCTAAAGTCAAACGCTTCATGTTCTGTCATAGTACCTAAGCCTTAAGAACATTATACACAGGTCTGAGGTAGGGATGTTCAGTCCTGACACTTCCTGTGTATACAGTACTACATGTCTAGTCCTCTGACCCTGTCAGGCCACATGTTCATAAACCCTCCCTTTACATCTCCAAAGCTCTTAACTATCCAGTTACTTTTAGTGTGTCATTTTTAACATGCACCTGTCATTAACTCCTGACCTACCTCTACTTCTGTTCCAATGACTTATAATCTACATTAATTTTTATCTCCCTGGAGTTGTTCACTTCTCTTCCCCTCACCTGGTTTTTTTTCACCTGTCTGAGCTAATACCTGAGGTATAATGAATAATTATATTTCTAGCTGGGTAAGCTGCAGAAATCCTTTTTTAAACACAAATGATTACCAAAACACCAAGTAGACATGACTTATGAAAGTCTGCTAATGTAGATTTAAACTGAACAAATTACTAATGATTAATATATTGTAACAAATTTACATCTTCTAAACAGGCCTCCTGTTCTGAACCATTTTCCACTTGTTTGCCTGTTTGATTGCTCTAATTAAAGCCACCTTCTCTGTCATCCAGTTTCTACTCCCGATTTAGTGTGTGATTTAACTGCATCCATACAACTTTAATTTCAACGTTTTACACTGAAAAATTATGGCCTGGCATTCTAAGGCCTGAGGACTTAGCTATGCTATAGACATCCTGACTAATTTTATTTACATCTACAATTCCATTTATATCTCTAATTTTTTATCCTTCTACTGATTCATTACAAACATTCCAGGACAAGAATTACAGAAGAGTAAGTCATCATATAAAATTCAATAAAGAATTAGAATTTTATTTTTTTTTTCTTCATGTCATGTGAGGTTAACCAGGCTTTCTGGAACCAGTTTTCCAGCCATACATTGCCACTGAAGATAACCCTGTAATTACCTGTTTCACCTTTTCTGGTGGAGAAATTGTAAGGCTTTAAATAAAAACTTAGTACATAAACTTATCTGTCTTCTATCCTAGTATCTCAAGTGTCCAGAAGACTCAGAATAGAATCTGTAGATTTATAGAGAAATAATTAAACTGAAGACATTGATTGTTACCCCTCCCATCCCATCCACTCCATCTATTGAATGTTCTACTCTTTACAACCAGTGTGTTGATATTTCATTTTCACAACATCTTCTGAATGGACATTAAAAAGTTTACCTTAAGCTTTCTTCTCTATCTACTATCACATTATGGACCTAAATTTCTGTTTCCCACCAAACTACTATTCCACTCCTGACCTACATTTAGGTTTCCCACCTGACTACACTCCTAATACTGACCTACATTTAGGTTTTTCATTTGACTACAGTCCTAATACTGACCTACATTTAGGTTTCCCACCTGACTACAGTCCTAATACTGACCTACATTTAGGTTTCCCACCTGACTACAGTCCTAATATTAAAGTATATTTAGCATTTCACTTGAATGTAGTCCCTCTCCTGATCTACAGTCCTAGTGCTGATCTACATTTAGGTTTCCCACCTGGCTACAGTCCTAATACTGACCTACATTTAGGTTTCCCACCTGACTACAGTCCTAATATTAAAGTATATTTAGCATTTCACTTGAATGTAGTCCCTCTCCTGATCTACAGTCCTAGTGCTGATCTACATTTAGGTTTCCCACCTGACTACAGTCCTAATATTAAAGTATATTTAGCATTTCACTTGAATGTAGTCCCTCTCCTGATCTACAGTCCTAGTGCTGATCTACATTTAGGTTTCCCACCTGGCTACAGTCCTAATACTGACCTACATTTAGGTTTCCCACCTGACTACACTCCTAATACTGACCTACATTTAGGTTTCCCACCTGACTACAGTCCTAATACTGACCTACATTTAGGTTTCCCACCTAACTACAGTCCTAATACTGACATACATTTAGGTTTCCCACCTGACTACAGTCCTAATACTGACCTACATTTAGGTTTCCCACCTGACTACAGTCCTAATACTGACCTACATTTAGGTTTCCCACCTAACTACAGTCCTAATACTGACCTACATTTAGGTTTCCCACCTGACTACACTCCTAATACTGACCTACATTTAGGTTTCCCACCTAACTACAGTCCTAATACTGACCTACATTTAGGTTTTACACCTAACTACAGTCCTAATACTGACCTACATTTAGGTTTCCCACCTGACTACAGTCCTAATACTAACCTACATTTAGGTTTCCCACCTGACTACACTCCTAATACTGACCTACATTTAGGTTTTTCATTTGACTACAGTCCTACTGCTAATCTATATTTAGGTTTCCCACCTGGCTACAGTCCTAATACTGACCTACATTTAGGTTTCCCACCTGGCTACAGTCCTACTGCTGATCTACATTTAGGTTTCCCACCTGGCTACAGTCCTAATACTGACCTACATTTAGGTTTCCCACCTGACTACAGTCCCACTACTGATCTACATTTAGGTTTCCCACCTGGTTACAGTTCTAATATTGACCTATGTTTAGGTTTCCCACCTGACTTCAGTCCCAATAATGACCTAAATTTAGAATTTTCAGTGTTATCAGCTTGTCTTTGTTCCTCCATTCAGACTGAACATCCCTATCTCAAAGTTTTCTCATATTTCTTTCCTGTTCTATGTTGGTATCAAACATCTGTTACATATGTGAGCAAACTGCACTTACATGAAGACATTTAAATGACAATTCGAAAATCTTAATTATCAGAAAATTAATTTACAATTTTTAATCTCTGATACTGGTTTAGATAATTCAATCACGATGAATTACAATAATATTAAAAGACCTTGGAAATTCAGTGGGAAAGCTGTCAAGGCTACGCCCACATATAATGAATATTCTTATCTTCCTGGCCAGGACATACCCCAGCAGTATAGATATACCTCTAGTACATGGCTTGGTGTTATCATTGTGAGTTTTCACTCATTACAACTTCACCAGTAACAAAAAGCTCTGTCTTCCACCTCTGCGGTAGACACTGCACATTTCTTCACTATGGTAATCATAGGCTAAACATAATTAAATATCGTTGCCAATTTCATCTGATATTTCTTTCCAGACCAGAACTAAAATGTCTGATTACATCAAGTGATGAAATAAGTAAGTAAAATGTTCCTCCATTACCAATCAATGGAGTTAATGAAGGGAAGAGATATCAACATCTACTCGCCATGATACTCCATACTTAATCATTTTACTGAAATGTTGTATTAATTACTCTTCCTAATTACATTTATACAGTAGTGAAACTTACATTTTTTGCTTTTTCACATACAGGAATATATTTTTTGACCTATCACTGTATCGTGTAAAGTAGATTTAATGCATGAAAAAATCAAAAAGTCACTTTATTGGAATAAAACATTTTCTGTGTGTTCACATACATCAGTCAACGTTTACTTTTCACTTTTAGAAATGCATATACCAAAACAAAAATTATTTCATTCTAATTTTCCATCCTTTTTTGTTTTTGATCTCATGTAAAGTCTACTTTTTATCAAAACTGACTTATCCTTAGAGAAAATATATGAAAACTTTCACACACACACGCAAAAAAAAAAAACAAAAAATTAAAAAAAAAAAAGGAATTATTTTTCAGAAAAGCAGTTATCAGTTATTGAAATGTAAAGACAATTGTTAGTTAGAAATTTTTATTGTCAATCTGAAGCTATAAAAATAGCATTGCATTGGCATCTAAGATAATTTAACAACAGAGAAACTTGTTACAACATTACTAAACTAAAGTATAAAATCTGATACTTTGATGTTCCAGTTATCTCCCTTCCTTCTTGCAAACAAATAACATCTCGCTTCAGGATAAATGAAATTTTCACTCATATATGTATATATATAAATATACACAGTTATAAATCAGATATATAAGTGTCATTTTCATTCTTTTTGGCATATGAGAAGTTGAAACTATTCATATTTCAAATGATCAATTTTCATTTTTTTTAATTTCAATAATAATTGTTTGCTTTCTTCGATCTTTTTATTTGATTATTTTTGAACAAATCAATGCAGCAAGCATGCAGCAAATCATCAGAATGATATTCAAGCTTGCATCTAGAATGAGAAATGAGATCAAAGTAAAGTAGGATTCTTTCTTTCTTCTCAATGAAAGTGATGAATATTAAGCATGTTTTAGAAGCAAATTTACATTTTTTTAAGAATCTAAAAAAAAAATGAGTGTTACTTTATTAGGTGATTTCAACCAAAAAATTGAAAATTTGATTTTGTTTTTGTTTTACATTACATACCATGCCAATAAAACTAAATGCTCCAAGGAATTTCTGAAAAATAGACACTTGGGGAATATTTTACCTCAATTTTTGATAAAATAGTGTTTTATCCTTCAATCATTTAAACTGAGGAGCATATGGCTTTGTCAGAGAAAATAATTGTGCACAAAACTTGTACAAAAATCTGCAATGTCAGAAGTAATTTGTATCTAAACTGTTTGGTTGTCTTGAGAAATGTTTTTCTCACATTTTCAAATCAACGAAACCTCAAATAGCCTCTTTCTGTTAATCAAGAAAGTCATTGCTTTTCAAATATTAATTTCAGAAAATATTTCAATTTTCCTAGCCATGATGATTTTTGTTTCAGATACGAATGGTTATACAAGCAGGTAAAAACATTGATGTTTTTCTACTATTGCTCCATAACCTTGAGAGTTGTGAGGTGCTGAAAAAATTTTATTTGACACATCACTGGACAGAAGATTTGAGACTATATATTATGCTAACCTGAAGCTTGGCTAAAGGGATGATATCACAGTTCTGTGGTCGATGCCAGACAGTTTTCTGGCTGGTGGCATTATAGTAGTAAAACCTTGAGGTATTCGGGTCAAACAGCTCCCACCACTGGTTGTCATCCGTTTTCTTGCTGTAAAAAACAAAAACATTGCATTATTAACCACGGACAGTCTACAGAGCCCTGATACACAAAACAACCCAATGTAAATAAAGAAATGATGAACTAGTCACATGTTTCAAAACCTAATCAATCACTAGAGTTAGCAGCATGTTTCCAAATGTTGATCTCTCTCATTTACACCGAAAACTAAACGATTTACAGACAATCTGTTTGTTTTTTTCAGACAGATGTCAGTCACAGGAAAATAGTAATCCCCCTTATAAACAACATTGATATCGTCTTTCCAAGCTGGAATATTTTTTTTAATTTTGTGCCAGAACAACATTTTCATCAGCATGTTTGTTTTTCCCACACAGCTTTCTGTCAATGTTGATTATTTGCAACCAATGTCACTTTAAATTTGCAGTCAAAAGCTACGTCAGCTTTTAATTATCTATTTGTCAATTTTCTTTTCATCAAACTGCATTTCAAATGTGATGTTTTCAGTCTTGTTTAACTGTTCTGAAGTTCCACATAAAAATAATTGAATGACTTCAATCTCGATTAAAAACGGCTATACTTAATCATTATTTCAGACAGATGTCTTTTATTGTGTTCGGATATATCACCATGGTTTTCTATATTGATAGGAAGTGAGGATAAAACTTCATGATTTTCTTTATCAAATTTATCACACAATTGGAAACAGGGCAACTTCTCTTGCTAACAAACTGAATGACTTCCAGAAATAATAGGCGTTGGAGTCAATAAACCTTTACCTCCCCTTCAAAACGCTTCCTCAAAATCATATAACGACCAACAGAAGAGTCTATTTCTGAAACTCTGGGTAAATGTTTTCATGTTAACAGAAGTATGTAAAATTTATGTTGATTTACTCTGAATCAATACTTAAGTTCCAGCTAGATCAAAATACCGCCAGAAAATTGAATACATCTGCATAATATGCCGCAGCTGTTCAAATTGAATAGAATGTCAATAGAATACTGATGGTTTTCATTTGTTCATTTTAATAGCTCTGCCGGAACATCGACTAATTAACTTAAACATTTTTTATGTATATCTGAGCAGTAGATGAAGGTAACTTAGTACTTATTCATCTGTACAAATCTTATCAATTGTCCCAGAAAAAACATGGCATCTCTACAAATCAGAAATCTGACTGGTAACAAACATCAACCCAACATGCTGAACAATTAGAACCAGATGGAAATCAGGCTTTGTCTGAATTGCATCATTTCACAATTTTTTTAGTCATCAAACTGTCTAATTAGAAAAAACATGTTTTTATATGTGTTTCTTACCAGATTTAAAGCTGTACAAATAACTACGATGAATCATGCTCAATATTGTCCTGAAGTAATACTGTATATCCTGCAATACTGATATGTCCGACACATTACATTTGTCTCAAATTCTGGGGTGGGCTTATTACAGGACAAATAGAGGCCTACACAATACCTCTTACTTCCTCTTACTTAAAGTCACTCTACAATACCTCTTACTACCTCTTACTTAAAGTCAGAGGTGGGCTTATTACAGGACATATGAAGGCCAACACATTACCTTTGCCTCAGAGTCAGGGGTGGGCTTATTACAGGACACCATGGGGGCAAACACATTACCCTGGTCTCAAATTCTATGGGTGGGCTTATTACAGGACACCAGGGGGCAAACACATTACCTTTGTCTCAAATTCTATGGGTGGGCTTATTACAGGAAGATGAAATAGCATTTGTAGGTAACTGTAACTAGTAGCAATATGTATGGTGGGCTTATTACCAGACATGGACTGATTATCAGATAAATACAGTATATTTCCAGACACCCAACTCCTAACACTACACTCTATGATATATCCACTAAATTTAACTTTCTGAGGTACTAAGATAAACCTAACTTCTTCACATAAGTCACAATACCAGCACTAACTGAAAAGTAATATTTATATCTCACTTTTGCTTCTTTAAAGCAATTTTTTCTTTTGCTAGAGTTGTGGCCAAGTTTACCAGTGGCAGAAATTACAAAAAGATCAATTATCATATCATACTTATGAAGCATTTCAAAAACTTCACCAAAAACTTGTAAGATTTGGAGGGGAACACAATGCGAACACTGGGGGAACAGCATTAGCTTATCTAATGATGCTTCAATAAATTTGTGTTTTTAAAGAAATATTGCTTGTATATATTATAAAGGGGAAGATTTAACCCACTTCACACATCTTTACCATTAACTTAACTAGAGCTTCTTTAGATAGCCACATGGTCACTTTAGTGGTTGTTGCTAGGTAAGTTGTCACTAAGGAATGATCACATCAAAATGATATAAAACACTGACACGATGCCCCTGAAGTTTTGCTTTATTTTCTTTAATATAGTGTTCCTACAAAACCCCTGTATGTATCACACCAGTACATACAGACTCAAGCTCACTCTACTGCAGAATCTATCTCTCTTCATATCCAAATAGCTACACACTATATGACAGAAGGCCTCTATCAGCTTTCCCTACGACTTCATAATGCCTCTAGTTTCCCTGATGAAATTGCAATGCAATCAGGCAAACACAAACTTATCTAATAATTCTGATTAAAATACGGCACCTGGTAGAGTGTTTCCCAATTCTCTGGAATATCAATATTGATTTCTTTACAGTAATGAGAAAACAAAGATTTTTTTTTTCTTTTTGGCAAACTTACAAAATATGTTTCCATCTGAAATAACAATGACATTTCCAAGTTGCCTGCTGGCCCACGAATAAAATAAACTGATCTTTAGAGTTAAGTTACTGATGAGTCAGTCTTCTCAACGATTGTGATAGGCCATCTACATAGACAAAAATTAGATGTTAGCGAAACTTCCAAGCTAAGATACACAGAATTTTGAGCAAAACCGTCAGTGAACATCCCGTAGATATTTCTCTTTGCCACTAAATGGCATGACCACTTCTACCTTCCGCATAAATGTGTTAACCATTTTGTTATAAAAACCATCCACAAACATTTCCTGCAATCTTGGAGCTATAACAACAAACAAACGTTGCCTGAGCATGCTCAGAAGACATTTTTGATTAAACCGGAATCTGGAAAAGAAATTTAAATATGATATGATGTAACGCTGTATGACATCAGGCCAAAGTGATTATTTAATTGTGCAGCTTCTGTTTTTTCCTGACTTGATGACGCTGCACAAGAGATGTAGTGCCGTCATATTCAGGGAATTTTGCCAGCGGACTTCACATGATCGCCAGTGGAAGGTAGAAACATGCTGCGTATTAGAACATTGATTTCTGTACAGACATGAAAACCAGTGTAATTTGTATATGTCACTAATATATTATAAAACAAGTGGATTCCTTTTCATGTCCTACAGTTTACATGTCTACTGATAATAAATCATCTAACATCATATGTAGGATTCAGACTACAGATGTTCAATATATGTAATACTGTCGGTACAGCAAATCACAATCTTGGTACTGGTCCACTAGAGCATCCACTTCACCAAAATGTTTTAATACAGCTAAAACCACATGCCTATTTTCAGTATAAAACTGTCAATTGAAAAAAAAGGAGTAAAAAAGGAGGTGGAATAAACTGGGTATGGAGTAAGGGTGGGGCAAAGGGTGAAGATATCAATATTTCAAAGATACTCAAATTGATTTTTTTTAAACTTTTTAAAAAAAATTGTTGTTTTTACATAAAATAGTGATTTCTTTAAATTCAAATTTAACTAATTGGTAAAAAAGAGTAAGGAAGTCAGAATCCAAGTAATGATTCAGGTAAATTGTAGCAGAATTTTGTATCTGTGGACTGTTTACAGATCTGAAGTCTGAAAGACAGAAGATACGTATGTGTATGTGTGTTCTGTAGAGTGCATTCATCACCATCAAATTACATTCCTAATCAGGTAATACAGTTGGGTGGAGAACTGTTATCATTTTTTTAACAAAACATCTGTAATAATGTTTAGCACGTCTCAGTAACAAGCTTGTCAGTTACAAAATGCTCCAATCATGGTCAGACAGATGCTTAACTGATGTGTAATTCTAACTATGTACTGAAAGACGACACATGAATCATACAACCCTTGTACAAGGGGTTCACTTTACTTTCTTCTTCCATTTGAAGCTTCCTCCACCTTAGTCTGATTTTTTCCAGATTCCCACTTATACCTCTTCCCCTGCACCATCCTTTATCACCACTTCTTCCGTCTCAGCCATTTTCCCATAACTTTTACCATCATCTTTTTCCACTCCTTCCATACCATCTCTACCCCTCCCTCTCAGCCCTCTTCCATCCCCTTTTATCCTATCTACAGACAGATCCCCCATTTCCTCTCCACTCTGACCTGCTCCCACTGCTCAATCCTTCCTCCAAAAATTTCCTGCCAGTCCGTTATTTAATCTACCGGTTCTATTTGTATTGACCTTAACCTTTCTTAATGAAAAAAACTGTAGAATATTAGTTATCTAATCAACAACAGACAGTTCATGAAATAATTCAGTAGGTCACAACCAGTGTAGGAATTAAAACTTCCTTTACCATGACAACTAAGATCACATGATACTGGAAGCTGCAAAACATGGAAAAATCAACATCACATATTTGTTTTCATTCTTTTAAACAGAATTCATGTAAGAATTCAGAGGATATTACAGAAGTTACCTGGGAAGCCAAATATTTTATTTCCTGATGGTGTTCATCCTGAAAATTGGTCTGTACAACACCAGGACATGTAAGAAAAGACAAGTCCATATCATATCAGAGGGTAGATAAGGATTCATTTTTGTGAGACACACAAACAAAACTAAATATCAATTTCAAAAACATGAAATCATCATGGCGTCACCCTCCCAAAATAGTGGAAAAGACATACCAGGCTTATTATATTACCTGGTGAAAGTATGTGAACTAGAGATATCACAGGTGAAGCTGACAAACCTAATACTCAGCACGCATTTGTCTGGGATCCCTCTGACCTTGAAACACAGTAAGGTCATGACCTTGG